GCCTTTACCCTTTAATTTTCTTTTCCTCATATTCTTGACTTTCTTTCCACACTTCTCTACGCCGAGATTCCCCCTCTGCCACTCCTCGGGAAGACGACGGGAGCGCCGTGTACGCCACAAGGGAACACAGATTAAGCCACAACTTGGCATAAATTACATCAAGATATCAACCCTAGTGCGAGCAAGGCTTCTAGGACAAAATTCTTTTTGGGGGGAGGGAAAAAAAGTTATGCATATTTATTACTCTGAATATCAACGATAAAAAGGTTGAGAAAATGAGAGAGAGAGAGAGAGAGAGAAGAGAGAGGAAGGGAGAGAGAGAGAGAGAGAGAGAGAGAGAGAGAGAGAGAGAGGAGAGAGAGAGAGAGAGAGAGAGGAACGAGAGAGAGGAGAAGAGAGGGGGAGGAGAGAGAGAGAGAGAGAGAGAGAGAGAGAGAGAGAGAGAGAGAGAGAGAGAGAGAGAGAGAGAGAGAGAGAGAGAGAGAGAGGAGAGAGAGAGAGAGAGAGAGAGGGAGAGAGAGGGAGGGAGAGAGGGAGAGAGGAGAGAGAAGAGAGAGAGAGAGAGAGAGAGAGAGAGAGAGAGAGAGAGAAGAGAGAGAGAGAGAGAGAGAGAGGGAGAGAGGGAGGAGAGAGGGAGGGAGGAGAGAGAGAGAGAGGAGAGAGAGAGAGAGAGAGAGAGGAGAGAGAGAGAGACGAGAGAGAGAGAGAGGAGAGAGAGAGAGAGAGATGGATTGATCGATAGACGGACGGCACAGACAGACAAATAGACAGGCACACCGATAAACGAAAGGAGTAACAGACAAACTGAGTATTAGACAGAAAGAAGTCAAATACAGGCTGACAGGAAATTGATAGAAGAGAAACAGGTACACATAGAGAGATAAAGCGGAGATGTGAAGGATACCGTAAAAGAGAGAGAAAAACAGAGTAAGAGAGGAGTAGAATAAAGAAGAGACAAATAAATGCAGAAAACACAAATTCCCCAAAGTTTTTCAGGTCCAGGAAGTAAAGACAGGACTTGGTACCACAGGGTATTCAAGCCGCAGGGGGAAGATATTGTGTACTCCTCGCGCTGTTGCATCTCCCGACCCGTACCCGTCCCTTATCTCGTTATGATACAAAAGATTCATTGCCTTCCGCCGTCTCCCCCGCCCAAGCGCTCTCCCCAAGAGGAGGCCGGGGGAAGGAAGGGGAAACAACTCTGTTGCTACTCCACAGCGTCTAGACTCAGAATCATACTCTGTTTACACATAAAATGGACACGAAAACTCTAGTTTGTGCTAAAGAATAGGCACCTGTATCCCCATTTTTATATAAACGAATATTCATCGGGTGAGGGCAAATGCGATAGAATCTGATGCTAAATTACAATATGGGAAAACAAATTGCCTCTCGGTAACAAAGACTCATCGTAACTTTTCAAAATAATCCGCAGGCAAATACGGACATTGGTGGAAGTCATTTTCTACTTTCCACTGTGACGAATCAGTATGCACTGCATATATCATGTAAAATCCGATTTAGGTAGTTTTCAGATATTCGATAAATGCATTCAGTAATAGCAAAGCTATTATTCCCAATTCATGAAGTGGTTTCATATGTCTTGATAAAGCTAATGCTTCCACCGACTAACTTATATTTGCTGTAATAATGTCAACCTACGAAACACAACATGAACATCACCCCCCCCCCTCCCTCCCACAAAAAGATTAAAAGAAAAACTCTACCTGTTGCTGCCGCGTGGGTGTCGTCCTTGGTGTACTCGTCTCGTCGTCCCCTGCGCGACCTCGTCCTCCTCCTCCAGTCCCTCGTCCTGTCCCCGTGGGTCCTCCTCCATCGCCACCGCTGGTTCCGCTGTTACTTCCGCTGATCTTCGTCGTCGCTGCTCCCCGAGCGTTCCTCCCTCTCGCCATCCTGAAAACTATAATCAATGAATTAAAATCTAGTGCTCGCTAGCTGTGTAACTTGCACAGATAATAAATAATAAGTTTGATCCCTTTCATATAATTATCGCTTAAATCACTCAACAAGAAACCGTTACTTGAAGGATGATTTAAAGGTTTATAATAGTTATAGTCACCCCTGATATCAGTTTTCTTTTTTCCCGCTCCGTTTAAAAGCCGTTTTCTCTTAATATTTACAAAGGTTTCTCCTAAATTCCCGTTTTCTGTCGATTGTCGATGGTTCACAGAAAACCTGACCGGCTACAAATCCCAAAGAAACCTTCGTATATTTATGGGACACTCCTATATTTTTCCTTAAAAATTTCTGTGACGGATTTTAAGGGACATTTTGAGAAAATGAAAATACACATACATATTTCCATACATGCATACATATATACTTACATACATATACACACCTACACGTGTTTATTTATATATATTTTTACATATACATATATATATGTGCGCGCGCGCGCGCGCGTGTTCTTACCTAGTTGTTCTTACCTAGTTGTTTGGATACGGGAGAAGAGCTATGCTCAGGTGGTCCCGTCTGCTATATTTAAATTATCATATAACTTTTTAAATTGATGTACAGTTTGGGCACACACTACTTGATTGGGGAGACTGTTCCACGATTCAATAATTCTGTTTGGGAAACTATATTTTTTGACATCTTTATCACCTCTTTTTACTTTCAACTTTTTGTTGTGTCCTCTCGTTCTTCTTGTGTTCAAGATCAAAAAGTCATCCTTATCTATTTTCACTCTTCCTGTAATGCAGTTGAAAAGCATAATCATATCCTCCCTTTTCCTTCTTTCTTCCAAGGTTGTAAGTCCTAATTTTTGTAGTCTGTCTTCGTAACTCACATCTCTTAGGGTAGGTGCCCATCTTGTCGCCGCTTTTTGGACTCTTTCCAGTTTGTCAATATCTTTTTTCAAGTGTGGACTCCATACCACTGCACCGTACTCAAGAGCTGGTCTTATGATTGCTTTAATAATCTTCTTTACCATATCTTCGTCCACATACACGAATGCCCTCTTCATGTTGACAATCAGTCCTAACATTTTGTGGACCTTTTCATTTATATGGTCATTTGGATTTAGGTTTCTATTTATGATTATCCCAAGATCTTTTTCCCTGTCCGCTGTGTCTAATACTGCGTCCCCTAATTTGTATTGGAATAGTGGGCGATTTCTACTTTCTCCAAATCTGACTACGTGGCATTTATTGGTATTGAATTCCATTTTCCATGTGTGTGTGTGTGTGTGTGTGTGTGTGTGTGTGTGTGTGTGTGTGTGTGTGTGTGAGTGAGTGAGTGAGTGAGTGAGTGAGTGAGTGAGAGTGAGAGTGAGAGTGAGAGTGAGAGTGAGAGTGAGTGTGAGTGTGAGTGTGAGTGTGAGTGTGAGTGTAAGTGTGAGTGTGAGTGTGTGTGTATGTGGGAGGGGGTTGTGTGCGTGTGCGTGAGCCATAATCCTGCTCTACGTTGTTAAAAGGTAAAAACTCAAATTAAGAATATATTATTTTATTCGAATGCTTCTGCGGTAAATCTCTCAAATTCCGCACATGCGTGTTACTGCACGACTAACATTAATTACCATGAAACTCGTTATGATAATTCAGATAAAAGTCAAACGTTCTCGCCCATCTAATCAACCTCACTACTATGTAGTGTTATTAAGAGCAAAATTCTTGTTAAGGCTGAAGAAGATATTACAAATTGCTACAAAACACCATTTTCGTAATAGCGAGATCTTTATACCAGGTTGAAAACACGCAGTGACACCGATCTTCAATAGTTTTGGGTCGCGGCTATGATCATTTTTGCTGGCACCCAATTTTCTTTCTCGCAGATATTTGTATTCCAACATTACTAATTACAAAACAAAGACTATCCATATTAAAAGAAAAAAAATAACAATCGCTTATGGCCGTATGCTTAAATAAACTGTAAAAAAAAAAATCATGCTTGAACGATTGTAGGAAGTCGTAACGTAATTTTAGGACTGTCAGTTTCAAAAATGCATTGTTCTCATCCTCCTGAGTTCTTTTGGTATACCAGTTAATTTTTGCAGTATCATTCCTTAGTAGATGATTTTGTGCTTCAAAGACTGGACTCCACAATGTCTTTAAACATACAACCGTTACACAATGCGTGAGACTCACAGGGGCGTTGTGTGAAATTTCTGTCGAAAGTAAACCTACGTGTCTTTTTTCACGTGTTGTCCGTTTGCTCGTTTATATATTACTACTCATTTGCCCGGTGACTATCACCTAACTATTAACAGTCCCATTGTTTCGTATATAAAAGACGAACAAATAAACCGGAAAGGCCATGCCAAAAAAAAAAAAAATACAAAACGTCTGGTCGCTCGCAGCTCGCGGCCTGTAGTTTCCTACCCGCAGGTCTAATACTTTAATTAAAAACAAAAAATATCGCTATTGCTCGTAAAACAAATGTCCTTTGCTCGCAGACCGCAGTCCATACATTGGTGTTGCTCGCTACGACGCGTCCGCGAAAAACGATATATTTTCCACCCTGGACTTTATACTCACACATCAAGCAGATTTTCCAGCCTCACCTATTTTATTTTCGTTTCGCCTTTCTTCAAGGCGGAGACGCACTGATGTTAGGCTGGAAAATATATGCTATTCATGTGATAATTGAAAGATTAGGTTAGGCTGAAAGATTCAAACATTACTACTCGGATCGCGACTCTGCTGGGATATTCTTCCGGCGTTTTTTGTCGGAATCCTGCATTTTAAAAAGCAAAAGAATGTGGGAAATTGAAAATCCGAGCCAAGGATAGCATTTCAGAAGATAAAGAAAGTGAAAAATGAAGGAACCCGTGAGAAGGTTCGGCCACGGATGATTCGACACGGTGTTGCGCGAGCTAACGAGCGAGTGAACCGAATCTTAAACGCACGAACTACCAGTAGGATTGCCTTCTGAACCAAAAAAAAAATCCCAACCCGGGGGCTTCGCCCCCCGGACCCCCTCCCGATTGCCGTATTTCCCTACCGGCGGCGAAGCCGAACCCCCTCCTAATGCCGTATTTCCCGATGCAGGCAAACATTAAGTAGGAGTACTTTAACTCTGGTTTTACTTTCTTATCCGGTGTACGCTTCAAAGCTGCAGCAACAATGCTTGAATCTTTGACATAAAACTGCGAAAGTGTTTTCTTGAAATTTGGTCAAGCTGTCCTTCACATCAGCAAAACTAGCAAATTCAGTTCCAACTTTGAAGGAACCCATAACCGATGATCGACCCTTAGCCATGAACAATGAACAACACAAAGACAGCGCCAAAGTTTGTATGCAAGGCTAATGCGCGAGTGTGTGTTTGCGCGCAAATAGTGCGCATGTATGCCGGACGAATAGCCGAACTGTTATAAAATCCGGTGCCGGAACGATATCCACGGCGTAACTAACCTTCACCAACTTCGCTTTTATATTAAAAAAAAAAAAAAAAAAAAAAAAAAAAAAAAGCAGAATACAGACAGGGCACTTTGGGACTTTAGACCAAGAATCTTGGCCTCAGACAATACCACTGACTATTGGCAAGAGAGTAGGCGGGTGTTTTTGAAGACAACTCATGGGATAAATGGGCAGATATTAAGGTACTACTTAACCTTCAACTGACTGGAACATAGATGCAGAGGTTTAAGAAATATTTATCGTAACAGAGGAAGAAAATATCAGCAAAATTACACCAGGTATCTAATGCGAATGCGTCCAAGTTTGGTGAAAAGAATTAGGTTAAATATCCTATTTTCTGCATCAGCAATAATTTGAAATGATAGACCAACAGTGTTAACTAAGAACATAGTGATAGCGAGTATTTGAGAAAGAAATACGGTGTGTAATGCGAAAAATATCTATCGAAGCACTTCCATTTATCTAGGTTAATGGTAAATAATGGACTAACATCATATATAAAAATCCGATCAGCATGAAATTTGCTTACTGTTAGCAAAACTTTGAGTCCAAAAGTTGTTTCTCCACTTACCTAATTAAACTGATTTAACAGATGTACCGAGATTAATCGCTTTGTATTACACCCGAGACAAAACACTGACCGAAAACGTGGCGCATTGATGGAGGAGAGAGCGCGAGTATAAATCTTGCCTTCTCCCATATAATTTAAATACTGTAAAACTATCTGATAACCTT